AACAAATGAAAAATGCTCAACATCTCTAATCAATCAGGGCAAATGCAATCAAAACCACAATGAGATATCACTTAACCCCCATGGCTGCGCAGAATGCGACTTGCGTTATCAACAACACTCACACAACATCACACTGGACCAGCATCAACCCGGATGCACGCGCGACGAGACGACACACACCGCAACCACTCTACACACTGGGCTGGTGCGGCGACTGCAAACTAGTTTTCACACCTCGTGGCAGAGCCCACACATGACTAGCACACCAGCCGGTTAAAAGCGATAGCAAACGCACAGACACCATGCCTATGAAACCCGGACAACTCCCAAATTGACTGGGCCACGATCCACCAACAAGCCCAACCGACTCCAACCACAAGAAACAGCCACTGCACCCCACAACGCCATCCCAATTAAAGCGCACCCTCCAACCTCCAACTTCCAACACCAACACACTGCACGCGCTGGTTCGCAAACACACCTCAAGCTGCACCCACACGACAGCAAACCCAAACCAATAAGGCATTTACACAGTATCAAAAATGTGGGTATCATTTGCATGCCCAGTAGCTCCATCTAATAAGGAGTACTATTCAGCTCTAAGAAACAAACGGTGATATAGCACATCTTATACTTTCCCTGGTTAGAGCTGGAACCCATACTAGTAAGTGAAGTTTCCCAAGAATGGAAAAACAAGCACCACATATACTCACCAGCAAATTGGTATTAACTGAGCAGCACCTAAGTGGACACATAGGTACACAGTAATAGGGTATGGGGCAGTGGGAGGGGGCCGGATGGCGCAATTGGCACGGAAGTCCAGGACAATTCCACCGAATTTAAGAAAACAGCTTTTACAAAACTAAAAAGTTGTTACTTAGATTAAAAAAAAAAGTAAAAAAAGTAACCACAAACAGAAGCGAACACCGCCCGACCGCGCTCACTCGACGCACCTGCGCCCTCTGCGCCCACGGACACGCCCCCGCCCACGGACACGCCCCCGCCTAGGGAGACAGCCCCCATGGACACGCCCCCTGCCCACGGACACGCGCCCACGGACACGGCCCCACG